GTGTGCGTCTTGTGGCATGCGGGACGACACACGCAACGGGTGCCATTAGCAACCCCTCGAAGAAAGATCGGACCTTAATCTCAATTAAAGACCAATGCCAGATAACTATCTCCGATACAGTTCCTGGTACTGCGCGTGCTAATGGCAATGCGATGCGACCAGTTCCAGATCCAGAAATGCAACCCACGCTCTCCAGCACAATGGGCAATTGTCTAGATCTTGGCATTTGGCACGTTCCTAACCACTGTGCCAATTTCAATGGACTTCTATAGAACTGAGCACAACGAGCGAGCGACCACACCCCGAAAAATAAACCAAATATAACCGAATAGAGATCAACAAAATGCGAACATCAAATTCAAGAGTTATCATAAATTAAGATCTGTGACATTTTTAAACTAAACCAGTTGCCTTATGCAGCTAGTCTGCGGCTTAATTGGAAGCTTGTTAATTAATAGATGCTTAAAATATGAAACGATTTGAGTTATGCGTTTGCCTTAAAACTCAACTTGACAGCATTTTTGACAACGTCAAAAACGCCAGCTTATTACAGGTGGGTGAGACCAGAAAACAAAAACTAAGCTATAATAATAATGATATAATATTTTTTTACGTTTTAGCTTGGCGAGTTTTGTTGTCTATATATACTTTATACTATATACTATATATAGAAAGTTGCGATAATTAACTTTCCAGGAATTCTAAATAAAATGCTGGTTATATTTAGAATTGATTAGTATAACCAAATGCATAAACAAATATTATACCCATATTATTCACTTTCAATTCGTTCAGGACATAAAAATTATAAATTAAAAACAAAGCATATATAAAAAAATTATTTTAAACTTAGTAAAGTTATAATTTTATAGTTGATTTTTTTCTGATAAACTTACTGAAATTTTACATTTCGTTTAAAATTAATAATTCAGCTTAAGTATTGTAACTATTTATCTATTTTTCTGACTATCATTTCAGACTTTTACAACATCTATTATGATTAAAAAGTCTTCAGCTATGTAAATACTCTACTCAATCGGTTTAGAGAACTCCGGAGATATGGGCATCTATTATAAACTGTAAAAATTTCTTCTACATAGATAATTTAGTAAAAATTTAATTTAGTAAAATGCATTAAGTTGACAGAAGAAAATATGTAAATATACAAATATCTTATTCCATCTTACAAAAAACGCATCAGGACTTAAAGAGCTGTTTAAAGATTTACGTTTAAAATACTTTTAATAATCATTATTCACTTTAATTAATCTTTTCAAAATTTTACTCTAAATTGTGGGCCGCTTCTGGTGCTCTTAATAATAAAAATGCTGGTGCTTAACCAAATTTTACAAAAGTAATCCGCGGTTCATCATAAGACGATGAGATCTCGACGCAAAAGCTTTTTGTTCCCATATCTTAAGCGTCGAATAACTTCAAGAAGGAAATATAATATATTAATTTTATTGGAGATAAATTTTAAATAAATTCCCATGTTCTTGGTTTATTTTTGTTGTAATTGAAAAAAATCAATTTATAGAAAGAAGAAAAATCCTACCTAAATCAAGTGGAATTTTAACCTTTGAGTCACTTTTTGGCCTGCAGATTTCTGTCAGGGGAAGAGAACTATCAGTTTTAGCCATATCCAAGTTTTTATTACTAATAATAGTTGTTGGGATAGACTGCGAATATAAATTAAATTTCTGTGTTTTTTTTTCTATGCAAGAAGAGGGTTTTCTTGTATTTTCAATATATATAGATAACATATTTAAAACAGGGCCGCATGCCTTCAAAAAGAGGTGAAAATTTATGAACTCAAGAAAAAACCCCGCTTTTACTAGATATTTTTATATTTCTCAGAAACTTGCCATGACAAAGTGAAGACAAAGAAATAAAATTCAGTTTTTACAATTACTCGTAATTCATATAATTTGCGATAGCTTTTGTTTTTATCATACAGTACATACATATATATATATATCTAGACCTAAGATAATGAGATCGTTGTGTCTTTGTGTGCGGGTCGGCCTACAAATGTATAGAACTCAAGTTCTGTCATTAGAAACAAGCATAACACTTAACTAAAATTAACAAACATTGGATTGATTTAAGTACTTGTGTATTTATAAAGTATATTCAGTAAAAAAACAAACAAATAATTGTACAGTCTTTGAATAACCGATAGAGGTCTGAGGTTGTCTCTGGGAATTGGTATTGTGTATTACAAACTGAATGCAGCTACTACAGGCTATAAGGTACATACGATTATATAACTAAGTACTCGATACTACTCATTACTAAGTGGTTGAAATACTCAAACTACTTATGCTTAAAATATAGTGAGGCAAAAGTACTCTTTAATGCCGTATTTTGGAATCGTTCTGTGGGAGGAATACTTTTTACTAAGTTCTCATTTGTTTATTTCATTTTGTTTTGCTTTGGCATCTTGCAGTGTGTTTAGCGCCAATGCGACAGCTATATAAGATCGGGTTTATATATATATATAGAGCCGATTGGGCTAGTTGTGACTGGTTCGGAACTGTCTGTGGTTCACTGGGTGGGCGGCGACGACGGCGAGCGGTGGCTGGGGGCGTTCCCTGCAACTCAAACTCGAACTCGTACTCTCGAACTGGGCGGCGCTGCTGAGCTGACTGCGACTCCAGGCCAGGCACTTCCCATGCCTGGCGGCGCTCAGCATTCTGGATGTGCGTGCATCCTGAACGTAAAACCAATAAATTGCGACCAGCAGCCCAATCTATCTGCTCATGATCTCATCAATGGTGAAGCCCAGCGTGCGTTTCGGCCGCTGCGCTGTGGCCCCACCCGACGAGGACAGATCCAAGGCGGGCGTGCTCTGATTGGAGCCGGGGCTAACCAACTGCGCAGGTTGAGCTGCAGCGCTCAAAGTCTGGGTTGGTGGTGCGCCCGCTGCTGCTGCCGCTGCTGCTGCCTGTGCCGCGGTCGCCGACTCGCTGTGGCTCTGCAGATGGCTCTTGAGATTCGCGCGCTGATTGAAGCTGCGCTGGCAGATGGGGCACTTGTGGGGACCCTCCTCCAGGTGGGTGACCTTGTGCACGGCCAGCGTGCGCGATTGGCAGAAGCCCTTGCCGCAGTCATTGCACTTGAATGGCTTCTCCTTGGAGTGTATATAGCGATGATCCCTGAGATGATCCTGGCGCCTGAAGGCTTTGCCGCATATGTCACACGAGTAGGGACGCTCGTCTGTGTGGGTGCGCTCGTGGATGAGCAGATTGTAGGACTTGGTGAACTGGCGATTGCAATACTTGCAGATGAACTGCTTCTTGGGGCGACTGCTGCCCGTTGTTCCGGTGGCGCCAGCTGCTCCGGCGCCGCTCAGCTTCAAACTGGGCATAACTCCAAAATGGCGAGCGGCGGCGTGCAGCGTATGCAGTCCAGCGGGATAGGGACGCACATGGGGATGGCCATGTGTATGAGGATGGCCATGGTGATGTGGATGGTGTGGATGCGAGTGCGAATGCGGGTGATGATGATGTGCCGCTGCAGCAGCTGCTGCCTGCTGTTGTTGCTGCTGCTGCTGCTGCTGCTGTTGCTGCTGGTATATGGCAGCATTGCGTATCCATTGATTCATGAGCAGCGCCTGCTGATGCACGGCCACGGGATCGGCATTGGCTCCGGCATAGACCGGATAATGGCCATGTGGATGCTGCTGTTGCATCTGCAGCCAAAGACGATGATGTTGCTGCTGTTGCTGCTGCTGCTGATGTTGCTGCTGCTGATGTTGCTGTTGCTGCTGGTAGTGCGCCATGTGTCGCATGTGCAGCTGCGTGGCCACCGACTCGTCTGCGGCTGTGACTGAGCTGCCAGCACGTCGCAGCGGCTCCTCGGTGGGCGTGTGCGGTGGTGTCAACATGGGTGATAAGCTACTCTCGCGCTCCTCCTTGATGACAATGAAATCCTCCTCGACAAAGTCTATGTCAAAAAGAAAGCAAACGTTTTGTTTAGTTTAATTGTACTCCAAATACAGCTCAACTGTAATTGAGTTAAAGCTCGCAAAGCTGCGCTTGAGTTGTCTCGAGCCGTGCTTTGAGCAACAACAATAAGTTGATTTTGTAACTGTATCCTAGCAGAGCTTTTGCTCCGTTCATAATTTGCCGTCGGCTTTTGCTTTTTGCTGCTTACCTTGGTCTCTGCTTATGTTAAGCTCGTCGTCCACGGTTATGTTGCTGATGGGCGAGGCGGAAGTGGAAGACATATTCCCTTATTTTTTCTTCTTTGTTGTTTTTGTTGTTGTTTTTTGTTTGTTTGTGTTGCTAGCACTTGATTTGTTGTTGCACGGTCACTTTGCACCAACTGTTTAACTTGTTGTCTTTTTACTTTGGTCTCTGGCTTTACGTCTTTTTTTTGCTGTAGCTGTTGTGTTTTGCTGCTATGCGCTCTTCTCTTTGCTGCGACGTGCCCACGACAACGTCTCAACTCAAACTGAATTCTGTTTTTCTGTTGCGCTCTCCGACTCAAACTCGTGAAAATAATCAACGGACTCAACGCGTATATCAAGTGCGCTCTTGCCCTCTCGCTCTCTCTCACACAACCACGCTGTTCGACTGATAGCGTGTGCGCGCGTCTGTGTGTGTGCGCGTCTATGTGTGTGTGTGTTGAGTGAAATGACTTCTGCTGTGGCTGCTGCTGTTGATGCTGCTGCTGTTGCTGTGGCTGCTGCTGCTGCTGCTGTTGCTGTAGCTGTGAGTAGCGCTCGTTAATAACTGAATGCAACTGCGGCGTCGTCGACCGGTTTTGAAGCGAACCAACGGCAGCTGCCTTTTTGTCGTCGTCGTTGTTGTTGCTTTTGTTGCCGGGGTTGAATTTATTTGGAAATGGCAGATACGTACACGCCTACCTGCTGCCCCACGAAGCGCTCGGATTGGCTGGCTTCAACTCCCAGCGGCAGCCGTATCTGTATCGGCTTTTTGTTTTGTTTCTTCTTCTTGCGTGTTTGTCTGCAGTGTGCGCGCGTGTTCGGCATCGTTCAGGAACTCCACGACTCCAGCCACTCGGCATCGCCTCGCGTTCTCCGCTCTGCCCGAACCACTCGCTGCTCACTGGCAGTAAGCAAGCGGAAACCGTTGGGCTGATGGTCGGACGCCGTTGTCGGCTGCCGTTGCTGCTGCTGCTTCTGCTGCTGCTGCTGCCGCTGCTGTTGCTGCTGCTGCTGCTGCTGGCAGGCAGCCATCAGCACGGAGTCGACCCGCATCCCACCCAGGCGCATGCCCCGGCCAGCTGGGCCTGTATGTCCTGCTCCTGCTGCTGCTGCTGTTGCTGTTGCTCGTGCTGCTTTTTGCCTCGCCCCAGGATATTGTAATCTATTGTCCTTTTTCGCATATGTCTGTGTGTGTATGTGTGTGGGTGCGTGCGCCTGATTCGTTTGCATTTAAATTTTAATTTGCCACACAAATCAGAAATCACTTTTTTGACTGCCTCCCACGTTTTACGCTTTACACTTTCGCAGGAAAATTCAATTAGCCGCATCAAAGCAAATGTTGACGAAACTCATTTTTTGATAGGGCGATTGAATTTCCCATTTTGCGTCGCATTATTTATGCTGATTTTCCGTATGATTAAACGTTACATACTGTGCAACTTTGGGATTTTCCACAAAGGACCCGAATAATCTAATGGAACACATTTGAAATTTATATTTCCGATTTGTAAGAAAGTTGTTTATGTTTAATGTGAACCATTTTAGTTAATAAGTAGTATCAACAATTCATTTTGAACATATTGCATATTATTCACTAATACTCTCCCCTCATATATATTTGTCAGGCAATTTAACTTTAAAAACCTATTATATGCATTTGTTAAGTTAATTATTTAAGTTAATTGCGCCTTCCGTTGCCCGTTGAAAATTACTTGTAATGAGTTTCACATTTGAAATGCTTTAAGCTATTCATTTAAAATGTGCTTAAAGTCTCTTAAATACATACATCTACCTAATGAGAGTCAAGTAGTGCCAATTTATGGATTCCGCACGAGAAGAAGACAATAACACACTTATTCAATTTTCTATCATTTTTTAGCTATAATGATTTGTCGGTAGATTATGATTATTTAATGTGAAAAATTGATCGAATCGATTTGCTGTAATGCATAAATTTACCATAACAAATTGCCTCATTCGAAGTTGACTGCGATGAAGAAAACGAGTTTAAAATAATACAAACCTTAATGCAAAAGAATGAAGATATATATATTTTAGAATATTTAAAGCTTTAGACTTTAGAAATTGGGGAACTATTTCGGCCTTTTTGGTCTGCATGAAGTTAAAGGAAAATTTTCCAAATTATTATCGTTAAAAGAACCCAGAAATAATAAATAGCTGCCAAATTTATAATAAAACAGCAAAAAACAATAAAATATTCAATATTTAAAAGCAACAAACATAAAAATAAATTTATTTGTAATGCACTGGGGTTATCGAAAAAGATTTGTTTTCTGAGAATTTCACATTGGGAACATACATATTGTGCTAGGCTTATCAGCAGCCAACTAATTTTATTGAACAATTTGCGTAATAAAATTCGGAAAGGAATATTCAAAAATATGTATATATATATACACAGAATAACCAAGATAATATACTTGGGCTTATAATAATATGTTAGCTGAATTTGAATTTAAAACAGAATAGATTTTTGAATATATGTAAATAAATACTAATCATTTCCAAAGCCACAAATGGGAGCGTTTGGTATGTGAAGACCCCTGAGAGAACAAAAAAATGTAGAAAAAAATAAATTGAGTATATTCATTTTCCATATTAAATTAAATATCAATTCTAACTTTCTTGACGGCGTCAAATGCATATTTGATCTTAATAGAGTAAGGTTTATATTTGGGCACATTTTTATTATATCTTTTTATTTTGCTATTCGTTAACATTTTTAAACAAGCTCCTTGCTCGAACTTAGATTTCCAACTTCTGTTGCCCATATTCATTTTTTCCCCGGTTTTACCACACATTAACGAATGCTGCAAATCCATCAATTAAAGAATAACTTTCCCATATGTTATTATCATTGCTTTAAGCCACAACCAAACACCGACTTAGTCCCGGACTAGGAGCAGGATTTAGCATAGACATTGGCCAGCTTAGTGGCACACTTTTTGGTTATTTTTGACTTCTACCCGGTGGACTAATGGGAAAAGTCACTACTGTGCCGACGAAAGCCAATTAAAAAATATTTACACAACAATTTTTCGTCAATTTTCCCAATTCTTAAAGACAACAGACAAGACAAATGCAAAGTCAACCGGCTAAATCAAATATCCTGGCCAAAATAAAAAAATTCCCGACTCCATGTTGCACGCGTGTGTGTCTGTTGACAGTTGTTAGTTGTTGTTGTTGTTGTTGTTGTTGTACTTAGTGTTCTGTTTCTGTCTGGAACTGGCAGCTTTCTTGGCCGTTTGGCAACTGGCAAAGCCGCTGTTGACACTTGACAAACAGTCGGCGAACTTTTCCATTTCAAAGTGTTTCCCATAGCCAATCGGAATGCACGCGCAGTAATTAACATCATGTCATAAGTGTACTAAAAACAAATAAATAAATAGATAAAAACACAAACAGTCGGATAGTTGGGCAGTCGGTGAGTCACATGAAAGGCACAGGCCGAATATTTCCCAGCGCACAGACACACACGCACACACACACACGCACACACACAGTTATGATATATGGCACCAACTGTCAACTTCCTGCTATTCGAACAGTCGACACATGCATAAAGGATTAACTTTACAAACACACACATCTGTCGCTGGGTATTTGCATAAATGTCGAGTCGAAAACTCGGAAACGGAAATCGGCCGAGGCAGCATCATAAAAAGAGACTGGGCCCAGGACCTGCCCAAGGATAGCGTCTTAAATGCTGCACCAATAAAGAAGTCATTATGCCATAAAACCATAAAAACGGGCCAAAAAGAACTGCGACTGCTCGACATTAGTAGCCCGGCTGCCTACTGCCTGCCCCTGCCCCTGCCTGCCCCTGCCTGGAAGCTGTTGTTGTTGCCAACGGCGGGCACAAAAAATCTAGAGCGTAAAAAATATAACAACGAGAGCAGCAAAAAACAAAATCATCATAAAACCAAAAATGACAACTTACTTGGCTTTTGCCTTTGCTGCTGCTGCTTCTTTTCCCACTATTTTTTCTTTTTTTTGACCATAAAAACTGCGAGTGCTTCGAGGAAGACCCTTGGCCCATGGCCTCAGTGTTCGTTGGCCTGGTTTTTAGCAATTTTTGACAAATTTTTGTTCATTATTCAACTGCCTCGTTTATGATTTCATTTTGCTGCCAATTGTTGTTTTTTTTTTATATTTATTTCGTCGAAAAAAATTAGATTTTTTAGTGCAAAGTCGCTTTGTGACCAAATTTCACGGCCCAAAATGCTAATGTACAAAAAAATGTCTGCTGCTCTTTTGGTGTTCGTAACTTTTTTGAGCTCTTGGTATTTTTTCACACTAAAATCAATTTTTTGTTTTTTTGTTATTTTTTCTTGGCATTACTGTGAGCATAAATTAACATTGCAATTATAGTGGGCAAGCACACTTGGCTTTGGTTGCTGGTAAATGTTTTTAGAGCATTTCGAATGGCCTTCAAGGAATTCTTTGAATTGAAGACAGCCAAACGAACATATCAAATTATATTGCCGTTCCTTGACAAATGTCAACATACATATGTATAAAAGATACAGTTCTCAAATGAAATAGCAAAGGAGCAATAATTATGTATATGCTAAATTAATAATAATTAGAAATTTATTATAAATAATAGCTGTTCAATGTTGCTCCTATTATAAAAAAAAATGTGTATATATATATTTATAAACTTCCAATAACAATTTGTTATGTTAACTCTTTGAAAATCCGAGGACAATATGTTAACTAGATAAAAAATATAAGTTATTAGTTAAATGCGGGCGCAAATATTTTATGATTTAATTTAAGCGGAAGTTTAGGTTTAAAAATAGTTAGAATAGTTAGTCGGACACATGGCAAATGGTTCAGCAGATATTTGAGGAGCATGGTAAAGCTCGTAATTGCGGAGCTTAAACACAATATCTTGAAAAACAGAAAAGTTTTCCACACAATAACTTGCATGCGATCGGACCGATCGTTCCTATGGCAGCTATATGTTATAGTTGTCCGATTTTGATAAGATAAGCAGGGAACACGGTAGAACTTGTATATGCTAAGTTTAGTGAGTTGTTCTTACAACAATCAGATTTTTAACCCAACATGTTGTCAATATAAGACGGAAGCATTGTAGAACTCGTATATGCCAGGTTTGGTTGAGCTACCTTAAAAACCAAAAAAGTTTCTCTCACACATTGTTTACCGAACATGCCTATGATATATATATATGATAAAGTGGTCCGATTCGACCGGTTCAAAACAATTGCCTGACGGACACAAACAGAAGGAAAAAATCAACTAACAAAGAATATATATACTTTATGGGGTCGAAGATTTACCCTTCCTTTCTTTTTATGCCTCAACACTATATAATAATATGAGAATAATATGGCAAAACTATCACACCATAACAGCTGACAAAAAAGCCGAATACTTAATACATTATATGCGAAATAAATTTATGTTGAACGGTTGTTTTCCAATCATATATATTTGTTTTTTCTTATACGTAACCGCTGCTGCCAGGCTTATTTTCCTTGAGCTCTTAACTAAATTTCCGGCATTTTGCAGCTAGCTTCAAGGCGAACTGAAATGCAATTTGGAAAAATAAAAGAACAAGAAAAAGTAGACAACAATCGAATAAATGCGAAAATGCTTCCAATGAAAACAGCTCAAAGTGAGATTTTCGAATGGCAAAAAGTCGCGAAAAGTAAAAGTCGGAAAATTGTCTCAGGCCTTGAGGAGCGCAAGACTTTGCGCTGAAATGCATTTTATAATTAGGTAAATATGCGCTATATAGATGGATAAATGGTTATGTTGTAAAGGGATGTGTCTTAGTAAAAGTCAAGGTTAGACGGGTGCATTTTGGCATTGTTGCGATTCGCATTGCTTGCGAAAAGTATCTAAACACACCATAAACGCGTCACGCCCGCGACTCGCACGGCCAATATAGTATGAATTTATATGGGCAATGAGGTCGTAAAAGGACCAAGGACATAGTTGGGCAACGACCATCAGTTGGCCGCGACCAGCGACCAAAACATTGGCCCAGGCTCAAAGTGAAAACGGCCAAAAAGGGGTGTACCCTTTACCAGCGTAATTAAACGGGGTGGCCCAGGTAGCCTGGCCTGCCCTGAGCTGGGCTGGGCAGAAGACGGAACCCTAAGGCCTAACCCTAAATTTGTGATCGTCTTTTGGTGATCGTTGCAATGCGCTCTCATTGTGTGCGCCTTGTGGTGGGCGCGACGCACTTTTACTCCTTGCCTTGCCTCGCCTCGCCTCGTGCGTCTTGCGTTACCTGGAAAATAGTTCTGTCTGGCAAAGGTGTAGCCTGTAGCCGGGGATTAAGCGAGTGCGAACGTGTGTGTTTCCGTGTGTCTGTGTGATTGTTGTGTCTTAGGCCGTGTACTGTTGTCACTTGTAATTTGTATCTTGTATCTTGTATCTGTATCTGTACTGGCTGTTGCTGTAGCTGTGGCGAATTACGAAAGGGTGCACAAAAGGGTTGTATTTATTTGGCAAAATAATTAGATTGATCCCGGGGCTGAGCGGCGACAATTACTGGTCAAATTAGCGCTGCAGCAGGCTCCTCCCACACCGCCCCGCGGCGGCAGCTACTTAATGCAACGTGCGCTTATCGCAAACTCTTTTCGTGTTTGTGTGTGGCCATAAAATCGCGTCGCAGCGATAAGCCGCAAACGGCAACAACATCAACAAAAACAAAAATGTCGCAAAATCTAATAAAAACACACTCAGGTGAGCTGGTGGGGAGGGTTGGCGACAACAACAACAACAACAATAACAACAACAACACAGCGTTTTTTTTATGATTTCAGTGACTTTGATTTTAGCCGCCGCGCTTGTCATAAACTTCGGCGACTTTCATATTTTGCCGGCTGTTGATTTTCATATTTCTTTAACAGTTCTTTTTTTTCGTTGTTTTTTTTTTTGCTCTCCTCCTTTTTATTATGTTTTATTTGCGTTTGTGATTTAGCAATATGGCGTCGCAACAGGGCGGCAAATGGCGGCAGCAACAAAAGCGCGCAGGCGTCCAATCAAAATGCGCGCCACCCAACCGCCTCACCCCTCCCCCACGCAACACCCTTGCCATCCCCACCCCCTCACAGCATAACAATGCTTTGATTAATGTGCGCCTTTTGGCCAGAGGCCTAATTGATTTGGCCTGAATGAACGCGCTTTGGCCGATCTCAGGCTTTACATAATTTTTTATTTCTTATTTTTTCAATTAACGCCAAAAGTAACACCCGTCGCGCTGCTGAACTATTGAACTGCTTGGCTGTCTAATTAAAGCGCTATTAATGATACGCCCACCCATTGATAGGTGAGACAGGCAGGCAGGCAGACTGACCGACAGACAGACAGACAGGCAGACTGACATTCAGTGTAGAGGCCCGAGGGCATATCGCTTACAGCTCTAATCAGCGCGAGAAATCCAATCCAAGTGTGTAATTAATAATGCTCAGTTTGGGTTTCCAGCGAACGCTTGTAAAGTATTCAAATTACGGGGCGACGAAAAGTGTGAAAATGCGTTGTTTTCCGAATGACATGGTAGACAGCACGAAAGCATGCAGCCATAACATTCACTGATTTATGACTGCAAACATGTGCGACCCACCAGATCCTTTGGCGCATCCTTCAGCGCCAGCAGCAGCGACTCCTCTCAGCTCAGCTCAGCTCAGCTTAGCTCAGCTCACTTGGCGGAGTGTCAAGTATTTGACCGTAGAAGATCGATCCGATTACATGCTATTGTTGGTTATTTGGTCACTTGGTATGTTTACAGTGCGGCGCTATCCATAAATTATGCAATGTTCCAAGTTGCCTCCGCCCTCAACTCCACACAAAAGAGAAAACCAAACAACACTTTGTGTAACCCGATGCCCAAATCCTTTGTCGATAACATTTCTGAAAACTCTTGCACTTTGTTTACGTACTCCATGAGACTAATTGTCGCAACTTCTGATGCTCTTCTGAAGGTTCGGCTTTCGGCTTGTCCCAAATACCTTCTTGGAGCTCGCTACTCCAAACAGCAAGAGGTTACTCGAAAGCGCATCATATTTTAGCTAGAAGTTTATTAAATACCCCACAAAACTTAACCAACCCATGGCCACTTGGGTGGTCCTTCAGTCTTTCGTTCATTTCCCGCTGCATTTGCATTTTCAAGTGGGATGCTCCTTTCCAGCACATTTTGCAGTTGCTTCGTGCACTTCGAGCTAATGTCTGTTTCGGGGAACTATTATCGATATCAGCTAAACGGTAGTTCCACAGATTCAATACTCGAGTGGTTTCCCGTTGATTTCCTACTGAGCCGCACTCTTGTCAGATCTTAAGATTGTTTGGTTTCGTTTTGACAACACTTTAAGAGAGCACGCAAAGATTTGGATTACACAAATACTGGAAACATTGAAAAACAATAAATACCAACCAAGATTAAAGGTACCACTTTTAAGGATATTACATATACCATTTACATTTTTAATAGTATAATAAGAGAGTGAATCTTCTTCTACCACAACCTGAAGCAACTCGCACTCGCGTACTCAAGATGTAGTTTAAAAATAACTTTAAAAAAAACTTCCCTGCTGGGTTTGAACTCACACGCACTATCGAGCCAATGAACTGATTGCCAATGTCTTACATCTTAACGCCAGATAAACTGAACTAACTAACTTCAGCATACAATATACTTGCAATTCGTTTATATGAATGATTGTTCTGAATAAACTCTAACGGAGAGACAAACAGACGGACGGATGGGTAGACGGACATGAGTAGATCAACTGTGCTGTTGATGCCGACCAAGAATATATACTTAATGGGGTTGGAGATACTACCTTCTGCTTGTTGCATACATTTGAATAATATGCCTTTTTATGAGGCATACAAATGAGTTACAACATTTTCTCACCCATTTTCCACCATTGCGGGCGAATTTGAATTACTAACTTGATCTAGGCTCGTAAAATACGAACAGATTTATTAATGTTCCTCAGGCAGTTTACGGGGCATCAACTGATCAATCAACACTCGACTTAAATATATTTTTTTATTAAATTGTGAGCACTATCCAATTTACATGGCTTTCAATTAGTTTCAGCTACGTTTAAATCGTCATTAAATTTTATTGTGAGGGTTTTTAAAGGTATAGCTTGTGAAATTGTCCATTTATTTTATTTTTATAGACCATCTACTTCAAATCAAGCTGTTAATTCTTACATTGTTCACAGTTGAATATATTCGAAAGAAACTTAAAAAAGATTAATATGAAATTCGTTGCCTTCTTGCTGTTTGCAATTTTCATTGTTGGGAATGTCCTGAGCTTTGATGGTAAGTGTGAAGATATTCTCTTGATGGCGAATTAATCGAAGCAGCGACAATCCTTCAGGACGATGTTATAAGATACCTTTATTGGGAAAGATCTGCAGAGCCGGAACCACCCAGTGGCATTATCAGATAAAGCAGAACCTGTGCAAGCAGTTCCTTTGGGGTGGCTGCCACTTGACCGTTGTCGAAAACCGTTTCGATACGAGGGAAGAATGCGAAGACAGCTGCTTAATATAATTCTAAAAAATCCATTTTTTAATAACAATTGACAAATAGTATGAAGTGTATGAAGTGTACTATTTAAATCTAAAAAAGGATAAGACAATATCTGGGGTATCCTTTTTTATTTTATATTAGTTATTTCGTGTGCCGTGTTAACTCTGATGGATAAAGATTGTATCTTATGTTAAATGTTAAACGCATGTGCACTGGGTGGTCAGTCTTTCATTCCTTCGGTCATTTCCCGTTGCATTTGCATTTTCAAGTGGGATGCTCCTTTCCAGCACATTTTGCAGTTGCTTCGTGCACTTCGAGCTAATGTCTGTTTCGGGGAACTATTATCGATAGCAGCTAAACGGTAGTTCCACAGGTTCAATGCTCGAGTGGTTTCCCGTTGATTTCCTACTGAACCACACATTAGTCAGATCTTAGGATTGTTTGGTTTCGTTTTGACAACACTTTAAGAGAGCACGCAAAGATTTGGATTACACAAATACTGGAAACATTGGGTAGGAACATTAAAAGAACCACATTTTAAGGAATATAACATACATATATGTATATATTTTTAATGGCACCAGTCACTGGGCGATTAGTTCAATGTTTAATTCTAAACCAAATCAGTTTTTAATTGCTAGTATAGCTAATAGGCACAGGAAAAGCAACTATTATTTATAAGTAAAGATTCCAACAAATTTATAGCTTTTATCACCTCTTGCTAAGGTAAGGGGTATCGCGTAGTCGGCCACTTGTGCATTTAAGTATAGTAAAAAGTATGTAATGTTTTCGAGAACTTAATCAAGCAAATAATGTGTTATTTAGTTCCAGTTGAATTGACGTCAAAATAAGGCAACAAACGCTACTGTCCGAGCAGTTCGAGAAGAATCTTCATTGAGGAAAAAGATGAAGATTGCTGCTTTTATTCTTGTTGCAAGTTGCATTGTTGGCATTGCCCTGGGCGTGAACGACGGTAAGAGTTAAGATATTCGCTGTCATTTATCTTTTAGTTTAACCTTGCGTTCCTCCAAGATCGCTGCTTGCGAAAACCTGAGAAATCTGGTGAATGCCGGGCAAGTATACCCCGTTGGTCCTACTCTGGAAAACAGTGCAAACTATTTATGTGGGGCGGCTGCGGTGAAAGCAAGGATAATCGCTTTGAAACTGAGAGGGAGTGCATAAACAGCTGTATACAAGATACTGACTAAGTTTCATAGAGCCAAAATTCGGCAATTCCGATAATAATAAAAATATGCAGACACACAAATATTATTAAGTTTTTCACGAAAACGTTCTTGTTTACCATCCGATTAGCCTCAAACTCATTTCAAAAGATCTTTTTACAAATTCATTTCACACTTATATTCCTCCTTGGTGGAAATGGATGTCAAAGAGTTGATGGGTGAAGTTTAGAGTTAAAATTTATTTCATAAAATCCGAGGTTTCTCGGGGAAAAATAGGGCTCTAAAATTGTTGCAGAGTAATTTCTAAGTTTCGTCCGATCAAACTTATTTTCCACAAAGGAACTTAATGAATACGTGCTTCAGCGATTTGAGAAATTTCACCCGCAACTGTTGTACATTGTTGTTATATGAAAGACTTTTGTCTGTCATTCGATCGGATTCGAAACCATTTTCGAAGATATTTAAAAAAAAACACGACTTTTCGCGAACTCCCCCCACATAGATGATAAATGCGTGTCAAAAGTTTAATAAACGACAGATTATTTATCGGATTCACCCTATGCAAAAAATGGTTGGAAAATACCTGCTATATATGTATTTTATGGACGAACAAGAACATTCATAATCGAATGGATTTTAATATATCATAAGACCATCTTTATTAGTTCAATATGAACGAAAACAAAAATAAAAACGTAATAAGAATTGCGACAAATACAAATATGTCAGTTCCTGCTTAGGTAAGGGGTATTGTCTAGTCGACTACTGGCGCATTTTACAATAAAACGAGAATTCATGTTTTCGTGAATTTAATCATTCAAATGATGTGTTATTTAGTTCCAGTTGAATTAATGTAAATATCGAAACATTCGGAACTGTCCAATCAGTTTGTGAAGGCACTGCTTTGAGGGAAAACATGAAAGTCGCTGCTTTTATTCTCTTTGCAAGCTGCATTGTTGGCATTGTCTTGGGTGAAATCGATGGTAAGCCTCAAGATATTTGATGTTATATTATTGTAAGCGTTAGTTTTGCATTCCTTCAAGATCGATGCATAGCAACACCAGGAGCAAAAGGTCCCTGCGCTGAAAAGATACTTCTTTGGTCCTTCTACGAACATGGAAGACGGTGCAAGCTCTTTATTTGGGGTGGATGTGGTGAACATGGCGAAAATCGCTTTAACAGTGAATGGGAGTGCGCCCACACTTGTATATCAGGACGTTAATGAAATTCACAGCGCAAAAATTGGGCAATTCCGCAAATAGTTAAACACGTTCACTTACTTTTTTTTTTGGGAAAATCATTTGTCTAATATATAATGTTCATAACATTTCGATCCAAACTGTTTAGTCAATCTTCACTCAGAAAAACTGAACTAGCACAGCATAAACAATGTTTATAACAGGATTCCACAATACCGAGCGGGTTCTAACTACTTACTCAATCTGAGCTGCGCGTTGATTATAACTGACTGACACATATTCCTACTTAAGACAGCGAACAGGGTATCTGTTCAGACTCGACTTATTTATATATGTTCAAGCATCACGCAATTTTCCTGATATTCATTTAGTTTCAGCTTCATTTAAATCGTAATTAAATTTCAAGGGTGTTGAAATATATAGCATGCGGAACTGAGAATGCTTTAGTTCCAGTTGCATTTATGAATTAATAGGGCCACAATTACTTAGTCGGTTAAGAAACTTCATTGAGGAAAAACATAGAACTCGCTGTATTTATTGTCTTTGCAAGTTGCATTGTTGGCATTGCACCGGGCATACACAATGGTATGAGTTAAGATATTCGATGTCAATTCCCACGTAGCTTTAGCCTTGCATTATTCCTTGATCCTTGCTTACGAGCAAGATGCTGAAGAACAACAGTGCAAGATGTTTATGTATATTTTGGTTGTGGCTTCCGAGGAGCAGTGCTTTAAAATGTTTAAAGGCAAATTAAAAGAACCCAAAATGGTCACAAAAATAATAAATGAATGTTATATATATATATATATATATATATATACTACCTGGCATATATCACGATTTTCCCACCTGATAAATATCAACTTGCACCCAGGTGGCTGCATTTTCCACAAACGCAGAAATAGATCTTAAATTAAATTTAAATATATTTTTGAAAATTAGCTTCAATGTTGAAGAGTATACTCGGATAATTATCCAAACATGAAAAATGTTACGAGTTCAAAAGTATTTTGATTTCTTGATTATTTATTTTGTATTTTGATCTCTTGTATATATACATTATCTATGCCACAATCCCAATATATTGACAAACCTTTTGACAAGCCTTTTGAGGAAAGCCACTCCAAAGGATTGTCTTTTGTCATTCATTACGCAGCATTCTTCTAATCCACAAAATCCACATCATTTTAAAGCCAGTTTTTCCGAGAATTTCCCCAAGTTGTCGCCATTAAATGTCTTCACTAATCGGACGATTAATTTAATGTGCAACTAATCGAGCTACGTTTCTTGGTTAACCCAACATTTGACGTTCGTCACCTTCGGGAACGCTGCCGGATGTCGTTGGGATCGATCCTGCTGCTAAATAGATACAAATAATTATCTATTTGGCAAATAGCTGGACAACTTCATCGCAGCGTAAACCAATGCATTGGCCAAGGAGCGTCCCTCAAGTACAGCCCATACATATCCAATTTCAATTACCAGTATCCTTGAGTTACGGATACGCCAGAGGGGGCGCGAGGTTAGCCCAAGCAGCCAGAAATTCTGGGTTTTTGCCAGGCGAGCGCAACGAATCTGCAACACACACACACACACACACTCACATACACACACATACACTGACGATACGATAATCTGAAGTGGAATCTGCACGGGCCTAATGTTGTGATTAGCATCTGCGTTGACAAACACAGTGAGCGGTCCCAAGGCGAGCACCAGAGCATTGCCTTGGACCGTGCCCCCCACCCAAGATGAATAATTATAGCTGATCTTTATGCGCTTGCCGGCTCCTCGCTGCGACCGTTAATGGCTGCGCGTACCTTGTGCCGCGCCAGAATCTCTGGCTAAGTCTGAGGCTGAGGCTGCGGCTGTGGAGCGATGTTTACCTGCGGCGTTTTGGCATTCCCAAAATTCCATTTTTCCATCAATTGATGCGCTCAGTGAGTCGTCGCATTGTTAGACAAAACGAATTCACGCGTATTCCGCCGAAACTCGCTAATGGTCACAGCGTCCACCTTCGCCGCCTTCTGCCAAGGAACTTGATGTTGCTGTTGTTGCTGTTGCTGTTTTGCCTTCACCTTGGTCTCCGCCTGTGTTATTAATGATGGAAATTTGAAAATACAGAAGGTTCAATAATTGCAACATCATTGTGCGCGATGAGCGATGCCTTGCACCAGGGAGACAGAGATAGAGAGGGAGAGAGAGGGCATGGCAGAGGCAAGCACTGGCTTTTGCTTGAAAATCAGTGACTTTGTCTCAATAACAATGCTGTAAACAAATTGTGCCTACCTCTGCTGCTGCTGCTGCTGCAGCACACTTTCTGAGCGAGAGCGAGAGAGTTGGTAACACGCGTGTCCCTGGCTGCCATTTTTCTTTCTCTCCAGCCACTCACAATGCAAAGTGAAGATCGGCGAGAGAATCGTTTTATTGCCGCATTTATGTGCCGAATACCTGACCCCGCTGCCTTGCCACCTTCTTCCTGCGCCGACTCCAGCTCGGTCGGCAGCACTGCATTTATATTGCAGCAATTTCGTATCAATTGAATGTTTTCCACGAATCCGCAGCGGCCATAAAGCGCGTCGCGTGGAGGAAGGACACAATCCAGCGAACCGAACCGTGCCGGCGGCTGAGTGCTGCAGATATACAAACGAGAACCCTGAAGACGACTTCTTCTTCTTGGCCGTGGGCTGTTTATGCCAATTTTTATGCGCTTCACCTTCACTCCGACCATGCCCCCGCCCATTCCCATGCCCATTACCATTCCCATTCCCATTCTCATTCCCAATCCCATTCCCGTTTATTGGCCTCGGCCGGCGTCTTTTTGTCATCGCAATTCACGTGTAAAACATGCCTCAAGTTTTGTCTTGGCTCTGCGCGTGCCCGCATCTCCCTTGCCCAGTTCCTGTTTACATTGCGCCTACAGCTTGGGCCGAACGTCCTCCGGGCAGCGAGGCGACACGCGCCTCTAAAGCAGAATCAACTCGTGAACAAACAAAACACAAACTGTTGACCCATTGTCGATTCTGTGGAACTGTAGACGCACGAATCAACTTCCTGGCACTTAACCGTCCGGTTAAAGGTGCAGATGACCTTCCGATGGAGGCACACAAATCCAGGGAGCACTCTGGAGCACCAAATTTACGGAAAAACCACCTGCTCTCAAGCTGAGTGTCAATGCGAAGCACCAACTTTGAAAAACTTTTATAAATGAGCATTTGATAAGACTATCAATTGTCGTATTATTGCATTTGAAAGTTACTTGGCCTTGACTAAGAAAATAACCAAGTTGTTTAATTCAAGCGAGAGTGGGAGACAGATGGAGAGATAAATGAGGGGGAAAGAGAGAAAGGGACACAGAGAAAACGAGAGAGAGAGAGAATGAAAGAGACAAAACGAGAGAAAGGTAGAGAGTTTAATATAACAAGGCAACATGTAAGTCTAACTTGAGTTTATGAGAATCGCATAGAAGAGCAATATAAGAGAGTCGCAAAAGAGCGAAACATAACTTAATATAACACTTATAATCGAAACATGAACACCCATACGGCTAACTTGAACTCATGAGAATCACAGAGTAGGGCGATGTTGAAAAATAACTGAGGTACTAGCTGGGAGTTGATCTGGGCCAAATAATCTTCTACTTTTATAAAGTCCCTGACACGTTCTTATCATTTTTAAAATAATCCCTTGATCTCTTGTTATAGTTTATAAAAATTTCGGTTTGGATTTATCTCTCTTTTAACTTTCATTTCTGCTGTTCTTATCAATCTATTGTTAATCCAATAGTTCCTGTACAACAAGTATCGCTAGACAACAAACTGATTCGTTGGCAGTTGCTATAAATAAGTATACTCTATTCCCAACGGGAGAGTGGGTATATCGGGCGTTACAGCAATGCAATTTATTTGAGCATGTATTCAGCTTACCTCCCCTTCACACCGGCGAAACTGCAAAATGCTGTCTGAATTGTCTGAACAGAGTATCTAACAATCAGTTGTCGCTCGATGGACACAAGAGACTATCGGGCACTATCTCTAGACCGCATTAGGTATTCAAGTTCAGGTTAAGCTCATGTTACATGTTGTTGCCGTCGTTCCACTTGTATTCCACTTTCAGCAATGTGAATGGGTTGCATGCCAAAAGCTTGATAAGCTATCAGCATAAGGTGCATCTATTATAGTACCAAATAGATCCAATGCTATCATGTGTGCTTAGATCGATCCCGCCTGCAACTGTTGCAACCGAAGTGGCCGAAGTGGGCTTCGAGTCGAACACATTGTCTTTAACTGGCGGCCTCTCGATGGGCAAATGCACCTGGCCAGACACCAGTTCGCATTCAATTCAAGTAGCGTGTGTAGCTCTCCAGAATTGGCTGTGGAGTGGCCAGAGCAGGAAACTGCAGCTCCAACTGCAGCCAATCCACTCGAGAATCGTGCAGTTGCAGTTATCTTTTGACACTTGGCACTCAGCAACTGGCAACCGGCAATCGGCTAACGGCTACCCGTCATTGTCCGGCGGCACGAGTATCCATAGCGACGGGAGATCCAGATGCGGCACCTAATCTCCGCCTTGTTTGGCTTTGTCCAGACGTTAATTAGATCTGGGCTGCCCCCCCCCCCCCCCTCTGCTTGGTGCTGCAGTTGGGCAGCTGGGCAGCTATTTGACTGGACCACTGGCCGGTCCTGCCTGCTGCGCACACATGTTGTCCTTTATGGGCCCTGCTAATCCTGGCCATCGATGTGTCTGGGCGTTTGGAGCTGCCAGGCGACAATCGAGCAAACAGCCAGACAAATGAGCAAACAAATGTGTCCTTAAACGCACCAAATTGGATCATAACAGCAAAATGTCGAAATCTGCACAAACAGCGCTCTAATTAAGTCCTGCAGCGAGGCCCATTAATTGGACAAAGCCCACAAAAATCTGGCTAGCAGGCGGCCCATCAAACGGGCGTCCCATAAAACTCGACAAACTCTGTCCATGACGTCAGAGACAAAGAGACACTCGGCTGGTGTTGCGAGCTGGGAAATCTGTCAATAATAATGAAATCACGCAGAAATATTCATTTCGGGCATATTAGATTGCGCGAAAGTGCCGGCAACTGCCCCCTCATAAAACACTGACGCCAGCCGCCGCCAGTTGAGAAATATATTTCTGATGTCAGAGCGTTTAAAGAAATTTGGAATGTGGGGAAATCTTTACAGAATTTTTAAAATCTAATAAGTAGTAGAAAAAACGATTGAAACTGAAATAAAACTATCTGAACTTGTGCAAACAATTCAATATCACTTAGGCAAAACTCTGACGTCAGCTGCCACTTTTCGAGCCGATAACGTGGGGCCCTTAAACAAAAGAGAGACCTCTCGAGTACCACTCGAAATTCCGAGTGTCAGCAAAAAAAATGCAATAGTATGAACCAAAAAGCTTAAAACAACGTTGAGTGCAAATCGTTTGCAAACCGAAAAAATGAAAACTATAATAAGTAATTCTACATAGCTTACGTCATACATAGATTATATAATATAGATTATTATAATAGTTATGGAGAATTATATAGAAAGAAAGGGTAATAGGTTTTACAGCCTATCAATTGCGACTTTACAAGTGTCAGGGCCTAAAATATCTTTAGGCATTTTCTAAACCAAAACTTTAAAATTGCGAGAAATATTGACTTATCTGAGGAACGAATTATAGAATTATAGAAGGTTAAAAATGAAATCCAACTCGACACAAAATTGTTCTCTAATCAAAACTTTAAATGTATACCATATATTGCTTTATTTCGTGGAACGTCAGTCGGCGGATCGGACCGAAAGACAGACCTCATATTCTTAAACGAACTGTTTTTGGAAATGTCATCAGAAAATCAATCAATCGAATTATTTGTAAGTTCTGCAATCAAAAAGTGAAAAACTCTGCCCTATTATAATAAAACCCGTTCAGAATTCAATTCGATTTGGAAGGATGTTAGCAAATAAAAAAAATTACAGTTAAGATCTGTTTTCTTCTATTTTTTATCATGATTGGATTTTTGGGTATAGCTTTAAGGAGGGATTGAAGTTATCTGAGAATTAAATCATCATGTTGGGCTACACAATGGATTCTTACATAAAAATGTTATAAAAAATAAGTTGAAAACGGATCGAATGAGAAAAGAAAAAAGGACAAACGACAGTTTTCCCATACAACGGAAGGTTTTCTAAATTAATTAATCACTTTTTATGTGGAGCTCTCCAGTTGGAAACAAAACAAAATCCAGATTCCCCTGAACTTTCCTTAAATGTTATTAATATTATCTTAAAAAAACTGTTGGCGAAAAACTTAGCCTAGAAAGCAACTGGAGAATCTGTTAAGTTATAATATAAAAAGGCAATGTTTTTACACATTACAATAAATCCTTTACAATCTCAGAAACTGCAGCTTCATACGATTCTTGGTAGTTTGAACACAGAATAGAAATCGGCAATATTTTAAGCCCCCATTTGACACAGTTTCGATATTTGCTTTCAAAAAATTCCAGATGTTAAACAAATGTAGCGGAACATAAAACACACAGATTTCAAATACCAAATCGTTTTCACATCATGTATGTGGTTTGTTTTCGGTGACGGTGACGGTGATATCGGGGCCAATCTGTGAGTGTGTTTATAGGGGGCGTCATTGGAACTACCGAGAGCCAGCTAGCGGCAGGCAGTATGCAGTATAATGTTTCCCATGGGCATCCACTTATCGCCGGCGAGCACCCCGGCCCAGAGCCCAGTTCACTTTTAATTGCTCTGTTTGCTCAAATACTATTTTCTTTGCCTGCTCCCTGCGTCGTCGCCAGCTTCTTCTCGTTTATCGTAAAAAACACTTACGAGCATTGTTAACGTTTGGTGTTTTTGGGCTCTTATCGAGAAATGTGGCCCAATCGGCGCACTCGTTGTGTCGCCCTGGGAAGTGGGTCGTTGACAACGCCCACAATCACAGTCGCACACACACACACACACAGTCGCACTCAGAACCTCCCCCACCATTCTCGTACACAATTGCAGGCGCCTGAAGAGCTGTCATTCCGAATGGGATTCCCTCTGCCAGTGCACTTTACATTACATTACAGTCCCTAATCTTGTGGCCAGCCCTGTTCCCCTGCTGCCCCGTTGCACTTGTCCGTATTTAGGGGCAGCTGTAGCTGTGGCTATAGCTGCAGCTGTAGATGCCAGTGGAATTGCATTTTGTCTGCCAATTACAATTATTATCATCGCCTCTTCGTCTCATCGCTTGCGGTTCCAATTAACGCTTCCTACTGTCCATTATCTATTGTTTTCGGGGCGTTTTCCAATTCAATTGTGCATTCAATATCTTAAGGCTTTCCTTTCGTTGAGTGCTCTGCAATAATTTGAGCAGCACATGGACGGGAAAATGTATTTATCTTGTGCCTGATTCCTATATTAACTTAAATATATATTCTTTTATGATTTTGTCACCTTTCACAGAATATAAAAATATATATAAATTGTATAAAATCTTGAACTTTTAGTAGCTCTGTAGCTTTTATAATAATAATTTATGCTACTGTTAAAATGAGCATTTCATTAATAAGTAAAATATTAAAGTAAAATACATATAAAAAAAAAACACATACAACGAATTGTTTTCGATTCGATTCGATTACATAGCTTTGTGTTATTAGTTTCTTTTTTAAATATGTTCAGAATAAATGTTTTATTAAATGACTTTAAAAAGAATAAGAACATGCTTATTTATTCCTAATATATATAACCCACAATGCTGTTGACAAACAAAAACCCAATTTTTGACCAATTGTTCCTACATTAGCTATTAAGTCAATGTTAATAAATCCTTCGCCTATATATTTAATAATCCACAATTTAATGGAATTATCGTAGAGAAAAAGCAAAAACCAACTTCACACAAAATTGTACTCTAATCAAAATATTAAATGTACTTTTGCACAATTATTTGAAATATCAACGGTTTTGCTGGCGCCATCTACAGTTCACGGCAAATAAATGCGGCGCCTAGTACATGCTCGAAAGTATGCTATACAACAATTGTCCAGCCTTACAGTATGTAACGTGTTGAAGCAAATGTGTCTGCTAAGGCGCATTAGCAGCAGCACTTAAAAGTATGCAACGCTTTTAAATTTAGGATCGATAACTGCACCAGGGTTGCCATAAGGCATAAACATGCAATTGACAGCAAGTGCAATTGCAATTCGAGCACACCACAAACTGAACCACAAAAATATCAATAAGCCCCAACAACAATACTAGCTTTCTGAGTATCCCAATGTATTCAACACGCTTATCAAGCGAGGCGTTAGGTAATCATGATATTCATGAACTTCGCCGCATTCATTCGAGAGCAGCGCAGCGATGACGACGACATCGACGCGAAGCGAACGGTTGGCGTTAATTGGCTTCTGTCTGGCGGTGTTAAGTGGAGCAAATGGTGGTGTCGAGGGGGGCAATGTGCTCGCCGTGTTCCCGCACTATGGCTACAGTCACTTTAAGGTGGCGCTACCGATATTAAGTGAACTGGCGCAACGTGGTCACCACTTGACCGTCATTTCGTATGTAAGAAATCCGCAGGCAGCACAGCTGCCCAACTACGAGCAGCTGCTGATCTCCGATGCGGCCGAGGACCAGTCGAATACGACCATCAATGTGGTGCCGCTGTCAGAGCACACGCCCACGCGTTCCCTGACGGTACTGCTGGATGAGTACTATGCGCTGTACAGCAATGGCCAGATATCCTGCGAGCAGCTGTACGAGAGTGGCCATGTGGAAACTGTGCTGCGACGTCACCAGCAGAAGCCTTACGATGTCCTGCTCACCGAGTACTTCAGCACGGACTGCCAGCTGGGCATTGCCAAGCTGCTGCAGCTGCCCATCATTGGACTGAGCACCTGTGCCCTGATGCCCTACTATTACGATCGCATCGATCTGCCGGATACGCCCTCCTATGTGCAGTCCGAGTTTGTGGGCTTCACTCGACCCTTAAACTTCAGGGAGCGCCTACTGAACTTTGCCCAGGCCAAGCTGCTGAAGCTGATCTACAGGCTACACACGAATCGCGCGGACAATGCGCTGATCAAGCGCCATCTCAACATCGATGTGGATGTGGATGCTGTGGCACGTGCCCAGACGGCTTTCGTGCTGGGCAACCAGCACTACTCGCATTTGGGCAGTCGCCCGCATAGCCAACAGTTTCTGGAGGTGGGCGGCGTGCACATTACCAGCAAGGAGGAGCAGCAGCTGAGCCCGAGGATCGCCCAGTTCCTAGAGCAGTCCAAGCAGGGCGTCATCTTCATCAGCTGGGGCTCCATGGTGCGCGCTTCCAGCATTGATGCCGATAAGCTGGAGGCCATTATCGATGTGCTGCTGAAGCAGCCTTTGAATGTGATTTGGAAATGGGAGGCGACCGAGCAGCCCAAGCCCCAACTGGATGCCAGCAAGTTTCTATTTGTCAAATGGGCACCACAGCTAGCTTTGCTCTGTAAGTAAGGTTCGAGCATACTGAAGAGCGAAACTTACTTCCTATACTGCCCGTAGGTCAACCTCAAGTGCGTCTGTTTTGGGCGCACGCCGGCCTGCTGGGCCTCACCGAGGCGCTGCACTGCGGCAAGCCGCTGCTCATGACGCCCATCTACGGTGATCAGTTTGTGAATTCGCATGCGGCACAGGATCGCGGCGTCGGACTCAAGCTGGACTATGAGCACATCAATGTGGAAACGCTGCAGCAGTCGCTGCAGGAGCTGAGCAAGCCCAGGTGCGTTTATTGAACTATTCTCCAGAGATATCCCAGCTAAACCCAAAAAATTTCCACAGCTATGCTGAACGCGCCTTAAAGCTCTCGCAGGTGTTTAATCAGCGCGAACGCACGCCGCTGGAGACGGCCGTTTGGAGCGTGGAGCACGTGATGCGACATGGCATGCTGGCCGCGGAGCTGCTTCAGTCACCCGGCATAGAGCTCAATTGGTTCGTCTACCACTCGCTGGACAGTTTGACTTTGATCTTTGCGGTGCTGCTGCTGCTGATCGCCAGCTGGCGTGCTCTGACCCAAGCCCAACCGCAGTCCAGCCCGCGCAGATCCAGAAAAGCCAGAAAGTCTTAGTTCTTGTTTAGATTAACTTGTAAAACTGATTTTTGTTAATATAAACAAACATAGAAATTAACTTAGGTCTATACTCTAGTAACGTCCACGCTGCATGCAGTCGCGTCGGCACTCCTCGTAGGTCAGGAAATTGTTATCCGTGGAGGCGCAGCCCGTATAATAGAAGCTCTGACAGTTGCCCGTCTCCTTGTTATAAGCATAGCGCAGCTGTTTGCCACGGCACAGGCCCGGCGCCTTGGGCTGTTTGCAGGCTGCAACGAAAATATATAACTTTCAGCTTCAGTTCTTCAGTTTAGGCTTCTTTATAACTCACCGATCAGCTGCTTGACGTGCTCCCGCGTCTGATTCTCCAGGTGCAGGCCTAAGTTTAAGGTTAAATTCAGCAATAGGAGCAGCAAGAGCACACTCCAGCTTATCGTCATCATGCTGAGTAGTAGATCTTGAGCTCAGTTCATTAAATAAAATATATTTCAGCACAATTTCCGCTCTTCCCGCTGGCACAGCAAAGTTCACTATCTATAAAGTATTTGATTTTTCAAAGATATATTTATTTTTATTAAGTTTTCTGTGTTGGGTTTTTCTGCTGCGACTGTCTAGACCCGTACGAACCGAACTATCGCCACAGAATGTTCTCTGTAAGGTGCCGAAACTCTTGACTGACTTTTCTCAGCTTTCTCCGCTTTTGGATTTTTGCTTAAGTCTCGTTGCGCACGTAGCCGAGTTTTGTTTTGAATTCTATTTGACTTTTATTTTTTTCAGCTTCATTTTGTTTTCCAGAACTGCATTCAATTCTCATTGAGTTAAAACGTGAGTTTTGGCCAATTTACTAAGCATCTCGAGTGCTCAAATGCAGGAAGCACACACATTGGTTGAGCTTAGCCCAGAGAGGTTTACGTGCCCCAGAAGTTATACCAACAACCAATCGAGTGAATGTGAAGCAGAAAAACATTTTCTTATATAAAGTTTAAATCTAAATCTGGCAACATTATTCCTGATCAAAATTCATGGAGAAATGGTACCCTCAAATATCCTTTATAGACATAGGTCGAAATTTCCCACCCCCATAGCTCGGTCAAAACTCATCAGATTTCCACGAGGTTTGTCTCTTTGTTCAAGGTTTGGCCTCTTTATAAATTTGGCATCTAAATCAGGCATAATTATTTTTGGTCAAAGTTTATGTGAAAAGGGTACCATCAAATATCTTATATAAAAATATAACTAAATTTCCCACCCACATAACTCGATCAAATCTCATCCTATTTTCATAAAGTTTGGCTCTTTGTTCATGGTTTGGCCTTTTGAAAATTTTGCCGTCTTAATCTGGCATTCATTATTAAAGCTAAAAACAATATTATTTATACCGAAGAAAATGTATAATGCCATAAAATTCACAACTTCTTCTGTGAAATTACCAAACTTATAATCAATTAATTGCAAACGCTTTTCACAATTATTCCACACTTGCGGGTGGAATTTCCCACAACCCAGTCTTAGCTGTCACCTCCATCACATAAGCTTACTAGCTCTTATCGTTTGGGATATGCATTGATCACCCAGTTATAATATGTATATGTATATAGATATAATGAAAATATATATGAAATTAAGTACTTACTTGCACCATTGTATTGTCCATCTATCGGTAGGCGAAGAACGACATTTTTCATAAACACACTGAAAGAACAAAAAAGGAGATATAATGTTAATGTGACAATGTGTAAAAAATATGCATGCACACGACTGTAATAAATGTTTCATATAACAAGACATAGTTATGTTAATATTACTTACCAGTTTTTTGTTTAAAATTGATGCCGCCTCCTCCGCCAAAGCCATCGCTTCCTTCATAGTTGAATCCGCCTTCTCCAATATTAAAGCCGTCCATTTTTAGACCGCCGTCTCCTCGTTTCCTTAAGCTGCCACCTCCTTCTCAGTTAAAGCCGCCGCCTCCTATATTGCTGAAGCTGCCGTATCCTCTAGAGTCAAAGCCGCTGCCGCCTCCATTCTATATTTTGAACCACCGCCTCCTCCAATACCTAAGGCCGCACCTCCTCTTTTGCTAAAGCTACCATAACCGCTATAGCTGAAGTCACCGTCTCCTCCACAGTTGAAGCCGCCTCCTCTACTCGAAGTGAAGCCTATGAGGCTTACTTGATTTTATGAGAATCGAGGAGAAGGGACGATTTTTTTTAATTGCAGCACAGCTAGGGGCAAACTTGGTCTTGCATACAAACATACAAAATATATGCATACATTTATTTATATATATAATGCATATAAATATATGGTATACATATAGACTAACACACATGCATATATATGTACATGAATACATATGCACATAAATTCTTTAATCAAACATACTTACATGCACACATACATATTTACATGCATGTATATGCATACGCACATACATACATACTACATAATACGAATATACGTACGCACATCAAAACAAACCCGCATTGATACACACGTACTTACACACAAACATCTAAACTTACGTGCCATCATACAAACATATATGTACATCATACGTATACTTACAAACATACATGCACACACACATACATATACGTTCGTACATGCATACATACAAATACTTACATACATACACACCTACATAAATAAATACACATACATACATACATACATACGCACTTACTTACACATACATACATACATAAATATATACAAACACACCTACATACATACGCGGATTCATACACACACACCTACATACATACGCGGATACATACACATACATACATACGCGGATACATGCATGCATACAAACCCACATACATACATACATACATACATACACACACACCTACCTACATACACGCATACATACATACACTCATACACATACTTACATACATACAAGCACACCTACATACATACAAAACTACATACATACATACACACCTACATACATACAAAACTACATACATACATACATTCATACATACATACATACTTACATAAATACACAAATATCTTAAAAAGTAAATTCGAAACCGATATTTCACTAAAAAGTGAAAAATTTTCACACTTTTCTCAACTTGCGGTCGGAGTTTCCCAAAACCCCGTTTCCTTCACCACATAAGGTAATTACAGTAACAATTTCAGCTTCGTATCTTTTACGGTTTGTGCTATGCGTTGACCACCAATCAGTCGGTCAGTCAGAAACAAACAGTTCTATATATAGAGATATATACATTTCCATATGTTGAACACCGTTTTTTGAATCAAAGAAACGTCAGATAACTTTAGAAAAAACATATAATTATTTGTAACCAGATATTCATGATTCTTACTTTTTGCATTTCCATATTTCAACTAAATAATTAAATTCCATTTAGTTAAGGCGCATAAATTTGTTATTTATTTAATTTCTAGCTCAGTTTACTTAAAAAAGACAATTGAAAAAGGCGTTATTTAGCTCATTTATATATAGAATATGATGATGTTTAAGGCTAATGATTGGAAGAATAATTAGCATGTAGATCCACAATTGCTCAGAAACATTAAAATGATAGATAAATGAAGAAGTAGAAGGAGAAGAGCAAAAACACGAAATATGTTATGAGCATGAGGGTCTTGGTCATATAATTGCATAAAATCTGCTTACAGGCTATAAGGCAACCCGATTTGTATCTATATGTATGTGTGTGTGTGTGTGTTTGCACTTGGTACATTTAACAATTATAATTTTAATTTTATAAAGATAGAGAGAGAAAACAATTTACACAATGCACATGGCCGGAACAGATGAATGCCAGGATACAGGAACCTACTTACAATTTCTATCGACATCCAATGAACTAGAAAATATAGATTTCACAATCTTTACATAATAATAGTTTATAAACTCGTTAATAAATTCATAGTGTTGCACAATGTTTTATGATGATAATCAGATCTCTGACACATGCTTGAGCCGTTTTCATGGGTGTGGGTGTGTGTGTGTGTGTGTGTGTGCGGGTGTGTGGCTGGGTGTGTTTGTTTGTTTTTTTCCTTTTCTGGGCACGACATGATCTGTTTGTATGAGGACCCTAGGCGTTGCGACTGCTACTTGGGGGATCAGCTTTCGTCCTAAAGCCTGACCCTGACTATTGCTTTGGCGTACAAATGGCGCACTAGTTAAGATCCATTAGATCGATTATCATTATCTGTCTCAAGTTGCAGCAGCTGCGCGACAAAAGTCGCTAGAGAGCAGCGTCAAAAAATTCCCATACGTCAATTCTACACTAGAAATCCTTGTCCCAGCCGCTGACATCATCTGGTGGCGGTCCCTCCGGATCGGGCGGATAGTCATCAAAATTGGTCGTGTCCACGACGCTCTTCACGCTGGGCTTTATGGGCGGTTCCAGTGAACGATTCTGCAGACCCCACCAATAGAAGCCATCGAACCATCTGAAATATAAAGTAAGCGTGGAATTAATGCTTGATTAGGATTTGACCCGACCCGATTTGACACTCACTTGTGTTTCTGTATTTCGCTAATGCCGCCGCGTTGATAGCCCAAACGCTCGGCGGGATTATCGCGACACAGTTTCTTGATCAAGTTGCTGGCATTGCGTGTTATGTTACGCGGAAATTCGATGGCATCAATGCCCTTAAGTATTATATTATAAGTGCGCATCGGATCCGAGCCCGTAAAAGGTGGAGTTCCTGTAATAAATCAAGATATTATAAACCTCAATAGATCTCGCACTCTTGCTTTCTCCACTCACCCGTGAGCAGCTCAAACATGAGCACGCCGAGCGACCAGTAATCGGCGCTTATGTCATGGCCACGATTCAATATCACCTCGGGCGCCACATACTCGGGCGTGCCACAGAAAGTCCACGTTTTACGGCCCGTTTGCAGTTTCTTGGCAAAGCCAAAGTCCACCAGCTTCACGTAGCCCTTCTCGTCGAGCAGCAGATTCTCTGGCTTCAGATCCCTGTAGATAATGTTGCGCGAGTGCAAATAGTCAAAGGCCTCCACCACGCAGGCCGTGTAGAATCTGGTGGTGGCATCATCAAAGTTGCCCTTGTCACGCAATATGGTCCAGAGCTCGCCGCCCAGGCAGCTCTCCATCAGCATGTACAGATACTTTTTGTCCTTGAAGGTCTTGAACAGCTTTACGATGAACTGGCAATTGGCCTCGCCCATGATCTCCTTCTCGGACATGATGTGCTGCTGCTGACGCGTCTCCACAATCTGTGACTTCTTCATCTGCTTGAGGGCAAAGGAGCGCGAGCTGTCGCCATTGGTTTGCACCAGTTCCACGCGCCCGAAGCCGCCCACACCCAATGTGGCAATCACGCGCAGATCTGTGAGGTTAATGTCGCGGAACTCCTCGTTGATCCTGACGGAATGCAAATAGACAGGTTAGATTAAAGATCTGCCAGAGTTTAACTCCCAGCTAAAGCTTACTTTCTACGCTCCATGGCACCCTCATCGTCATAGCGATGCTTGATCTCGTCTAGACTTGATATCAGCTGATTGAACGTCTCACGATCAATGACCAAACAGCTCACGCCTTCGGGAGACTCACAAATTATGTTGGCCGTGCGCAGATCATCCCTGGAGAGAAAGACTCCTTTCAATGCAAAAGTTTATCTACGGTT